ATTGTCATTCAAAGTGTGATAGCACTGAAAGCTGAAAATTGGCCTGGACAAGAAGGGGGTAAAAGTGTCCGGACTTGAAGTGGTTAATACCATCACTGATCCATCACCAATACAGTCATGCTGAATGATGTTACAGGCCACATAATGTCCTCCATGACTTCTCCAGACCCTTTCACATCTGTCACATGATCAGGGTGAACCTGCTCTCATCTGTGAAAAGCACAGGGCATCAATGGCGGACCTGCCAATTCTGCTGTTCACTGGCAAATGCCAATCGAGCTCTATGGTGCCGAGCAGTGAGCACAGGGCCCACTAGAGGATGTCTGGCCCTCAGGCCACCCTCATGAAGTCTGATTCTGATTGGTCAGAGAGATTCACACCAGTGGCCTGCTGGAGGTTATTTTGTAGGCCTCTGGCAGTGCTCTACCTATTCCTCCTTGCACAAAGGAGCAGATACCGGTCCTGCTGATGGGTTAAGGACCTCCTATGGCCCTGTCTAGTTCTCCTAGACTAACTGCCTGTCTCCTGGAATCTCCTCCATGCTCTTGAGAGACTGTGCTGGGAGACACAGCAAACCTTCTGGCAATGGTACATATTGATGTGCTAATTGGAGGAGTTGGCCTGCCTGTGCACTTCTGTAGGGTCCAGGTATCGCCTCATGCTACCAGTAGTGACACTGCAAATGCAAAACTAGTAAAAAACAGAAAAGATGAGTAGGGGAAAAAAATGTCAGTGGCCTCCACCTGTAAAACCTTTCATGTTTTGGGGGTTGTCTCATTGTTGCCCATCTAGTGCACCTGTTGTTAATTTCATTAACACCAAAGCAGCTGAAACTGATTAACAACCACCTCTGCTACTTAACTGACCAGATTAATATCCCAGGAGTTTAATTGACTTGATGCTATACGCTGATTAAAAAGTGTTCCTTTAGTTTTTTTTGAGTAGTGTGTGTGTGTTTATATTGTTCAAACTTCCTAGAGTCATGATCCAACCACCATAAGAGCATGCATGCATGTACAGTTGCAAGAAAAAGTATGTGAGCCCCTTGGGATTACGTGGCGTTTTGCATGACTTGGGCATAAAATGTGCTCTGAACGTCATCTAAGTCACAACAATAGAAGAACACAGTCTGCTGAACATAATACTACACAAACATTAGATGTTGCCATGGTTTAATTGCACATAACATGTAAACATTCACAGTGCAGGGAGGAAAAAGTATGTGAGGCCCTAGCTTAATGACTTCTCCCAGAGCTAATTGGAACCAGGAGTGAGCCAACCTTGACTCCAATCAGTGTGATGATGTTGGATGTGTTGCTGACAGCTGTCCTGCCCTTAAAAAACACACACCTGTTTTGGGCTTACTGGTTTCAAGAAGCACTGTCTGATGTGAACCATGCCTCGCAGAAAAGAGCTCTCAGAAGACCTACGATCAAGAATTGTTGACTTGCATGAAGCTGGAAAGGGTTACAAAAGTATCTCCAAAAGCCTTGATGTTCATGTGTCCACGGTAAGACAGACTGTCTACAAATGGAGAAAGTTTAGCACTGTTGCTACTCTCCCTAGGCGTGGTCATCCTGTAAAAATGACTGCAAGAGCACAGCGCAGAATGCTGCATGAGGTAAAGAAGAATCCCAGAGTGTCAGCTAAAGACCTACAGAAATCTGTGGCACATACTAACATTTTTGTTGACACATCTACAATAAGGAAAACATTAAACAAGAATGGAGTACGTGGGAGGACACCATGGAGGAAGCCATTGCTGTCCAAAAAGAGTATTGCAGCACGTTTGAAGTTTGCAAAAGAGCACCCAGATGTTCCACAGCACTACTGGCAAAATAATCTGTGGACAGATGAAACCAAGATTGAGTTGTTTGGGAAGAACACACAACACTATGTGTGGAGAAAAAAAGGCACAGCACACCAACATCAAAACCTCATCCCCACTGAAAAACATGGCGGAGGGAGCATCATGGTTTGGGGCTGCTTTGCTGCCTCAGGGCCTGGACGGATTGTTGTCATTGATGGGAAAATGAATTCCAGAGTTTATCAAGACATTTTGCAGGAAAACGTACGACCATCTGTCTGCCAACTGAAGCTCTGCAGAGGATGGGTGATGCAACAGAACAATGACCCAAAGCATACAAGTAATTCAACAAAACAATGGCTGCAACAGCACAGAATACGCCTTCAGGAGTGGCCCAGTCAGAGTCCTGACCTCAACCCGATTGAAATGCTGTGGCATGACCTTAAGAGAGCGATTCACACCAGACATCCCAAGAATATTGCTACACTGAAACAGTTTTGTGAAGAGGAGTGGTCCAAAATTACTCCAGATCATTGTGCAGGTCTGATCTGCAACTACAGGAAACGTTTGGTTGAGGTCATTGCTGCCAAAGGAGGGTCAACCAGTTATTAAGTCCAAAGGTTTTTCCTCCCTGCACTGTGAATGTTTACATGTTATGTGCAATTAAACCATGGCAACATCTAATGTTTGTGTAGTATTATGTTCAACAGACTGTGTTCTTCTATTGTTGTGACTTAGATGACGTTCAGAGCACATTTTATGCCCAATTTATGCAAAACTTCACGTAATCCCAAGGGGTTCACATACTTTTTCTTGCAACTGTATATGTATGTGTATATATATATATATATATATATATATATATATATATATATATATTATATATTTTTTTTTAAATATAATCTTTGTTTATTGAAAAAATATTCAATACAAAAGAGTAGAGAATTACAAAAATTAGAAACAAATGTGTTGTATGAATTATTCCAGTCACTGTACTTCCACATTTCAACAATGGTAAAGAAAAACATTGGCATTGAAGGCAAAAGAGTCAGAGACTGGTACCAGAAAACCAGTAATTTGGAGTGCTTTTCCATCCTATATATTGGCCTTTCTATCAAATGGCCTGAATATGAGAATACCGTGAAAATGCTGAACTTGCTCTATCTGGTTGTCACTGGGGAACAGGAAAAAATATTTCCCTGTTAGATTATATTTATATGTGTTTTTCCTCTCTTCTGGTCAACTGAAAATTTAGGGTTCCTCAGAATACAAGATTTTTAATGTGTTTAGTTTTGTTTTTTTGTTAAACTCTTTGGACACTTGTCGTGTCTTTTTTTTTTTAGTTTAACACCATTACATTCTTCAGAACAATGCAGCATATTTGAGTTTTTCTCAGGTTTCACCTAAAACCTGTATACCTTTTGGCAGTAGCATCTAAATAATGATGGAAGGCTTAGAATTATTGAAAAATGTTTTGTTCGTATGTATAAAGTTTACAGGTCAGTGGATAAATCTGATCCTGGGTTTAATTCAGCAGCAACAACTGCCTTTTCTAGCAATGAATGATCTTACAAATATATAATTGACTTGTCAAAATAACAGTTTGAGAAATATGTATGTATGTTCAAAGGTCAAGCAAAACTGTTGTCCCCTGCAGGCATTTGTGAGTCTATTGGAAACTTTGCAGTTACATCACGCCTTTTATGCTGTTAAGGTGTAAATATCTCCCCAGAGGGGTTTTGGGTCATATGAAGGCTAATTTGATGGTCAGCATAAGCGTGACAGGGATTCTTTTGGTTAGCACAGCATCTTCCAAGGATATCACAACTGAACCTGCCAGTCTGTTGAATAGCACAATATTAGGGAGAGGGCATGTTCAGGCAGCTGAGTGTTAAAGTAGAACTCCAAAGCTTAGTTTTGAATAGAGTGGAGAAGAAGTAAACATCTTGGGTTTTATGACTCTTTGTGTCTCCATTGGGAAGATTTCCCCTCGCTTACTGTCCTGGTTTTACCATGGGAAGTAAGGGAACAGGGGGTAGGCAGCAACAAAAACCCAATAAAGATATTAACCATTCTCCATTCTATCCAAAGCACAAAATAATTCCAAGACTTCCACCTAAAAGACCTATTCTCCCATACGGAAATATTTTTAGGCATAGCAGATTGTCACACTCATAATGGTGCCACTGCATTGTCTGATGCCATCAGTAATTTAGCTGGTAAGCAGCTGTATGTCTTGGGGGATGCAAATAGAACCAACTACCATATTAGCAAAATAAGATATAGTGTGGTACATGTAAATTGTCTGTTATATATATAACTCATGATACAGATTGATCTTTATGCTAACTGGCAGCAAGATGTTAGGTTATGTAGTTTATCTTCTGTTATCTATTTAGTATCCCTCACGAAACAGTTTTGTCATCCTTAAAAGAATCATTTACAGATATACTCTGCTAGTAACTTCAGGTCTATTCCCCTTGATGGCTCTGTTTTGGTGTCCTGCATACACCTTCAGTAATTACTTTCCCTAGAGCGTTTTATTAAAGGATCATATCACATAGGGTGACTATAAAAGTCCTAATTCTGCCCACACTGTGGCAGCCAGATGATGAATGAGATGTGGATCTAGCTATTTAAAATGGGCCCTCCACTCAGGTTTTTCACTTTTTTTTCATCCCAATCCTTGCCTCCACAGGACACCAAAAATGCACCTTGTAAATAAACTTTTTTTCTGTGTTTTTTTTTTGTTTATTTTGTTTTTTTAAATATTTCTGGTTGTTCCAGACACCCCCCCACCCCATTGCCCCCTTTGCCACCATTCTGCCTAGACAAGAACGATGTACAGGATGCCCATGCAGTCTCCTGTGATGATAATCTCACATATTTCAAGAATTGCTTCCTCACAGCTGAGGAAGTGGCATTTGTGTTATCAGGGGGCTGGTTGTAAGCCCTAATGACGTAAATGGAGAAGATGGTGGCAGGGGACCTGGTGTTCAGCAGCAGAGTGGCAGATCAGAAACAGAACTCTGCTGGATTTGTTAGATGTTGCCGAGTGTGTTTTTTCTGCGATTTTAAAAAATGTACACGGAGGTTGAAGATCCTCTTTAGGTTACTATATATAGGGCAATTCATTTAATTCCAGAGCTGTACAATTTATTTTTAAATCTTTGTGTATAATTGCTTTTTAAAGATGGTCTATTCTTCCTGTCTTTGTAGGGGCCCAGAGGACACATGTTTTGAGTGTGGGGTATTCCAAGCAATCCTCAGCTTTCCTCTAGACTATCCCCTAAGTCCTCCAAAAATGAGGTTTACCTGTGAAATGTTTCATCCAAACAGTAAGTAATAAAATCAACACAAGCTTTTCTTTTTCTAATGGATTATATAAATCTCTTTTAGGGTACTTGCTGTTTATGAACAGACATTCTTGGGATTTTGAAATAATATCAAAGATTAGTTTGATACTTAAAGGATGAAGTCTATGCATCACCTTTTTTATTAGCACCATTAAAAAATGACTTGATATTGTTTCCTGCCAATGTTTCTTTGCAGGGATTAAGTTTTTTCCCTGGTACTTTACCAGGACTGCGGCAAAAGATATGCAGTCCATCTTCACACCTTCCTGCTTTATTGCAGGCATTATCCCCTAGATTCTTTTGACTTTGACTATTAAAGAGTGCTATTTACGTGCTTACTCTAAGGTTAATAACTTATAACAACCAATCAGCATTCATTTTTTCTGATGTGACTTCAGCTGTGTGAACTTGGAAGTTGCTTTGATTAACTGCACTTAAAGTGATACTAAAGGCTTTTTTTTATTTACATAAATAAAATGTTATACTTAAGTGCTCTGTGCAATGGTCCCTTACCTTTTTGATAGTTCCCTGCCAGCGCTGTTCACTGCACCTTTCTCCTGGTGCCTTCTCAGCAAGCCAGGTTCTATGGAAGGCACCTGTGCGCTTGTGCTTCCAGGTGGTGTGCATCCATAGACGCACACAGTGTGGGTAAGCCAAAGCCCTGCTCCCTCCTTACAGAAGATTGACTAACAGCAGCCGGTAGCATACGGCTCTCAGTGTCTCCTGTGAGACCAGGAAGTGAGACGAGTGGTGCTGCAGCCGGGACAGCACTGGAGTGGTGAGAGTACTCAGGTGGGTGTTTAGAAAGGGAAAGTGTTTAGGAATAGGCAGTGGGTTCTTTTACCTTAATGCAGAGAATGCTTTAAAAGATAATTATGGATTAAAAAACAAAATCATACCCACCCTTGTAGATGCAGCACCATTCTGATACTGCATCTGTCCCCCACCAACTCTTAACACCAAGAACCGAGCAATCACATAACTGCTGATCACTTAGTTCATGGTCTTCAGAGAGCAATGACGGTCAGTCACCACTTACTGGAGCGCTGAGCTGATCTGGCTCAGGCTGTCGGTGGCGTTCTGAGAGGCTGAGCCAGCTGCTGGTCAGTCATCTGTGCATATCCCGGCATTATTGTTGGGATCCCTGCAGAGCCCGGGAGTGGCTGTGTGATATCAGCTGACAGCGGACTTTAACCTGCTGTCGGCTTAAACTTAGTCACAGGAGAGCAAAACAAAGTGCACTCCTGTGATCCGCAGAAGTGTGAGCAAAAGAGCTTTGGCCATACTTCTCCTTTAAGGTAAAAAAAAAAAAAAAAAAACAATTTAAGAATTAGCACTCATGCCATTCATTGAATGAGACTGTTTATGTCCTGTACCTAGCTGATTGTTTAGAGCTTTATTAAATACAAGTTGGAACATTAACATTCCTGCTAAATAGCTGCAGAAAGAACATTAGTAACAGGAAAAGCCAAATGTAGAGTTTGTTGTGTAGCATTATATTAGGTCTGAATGAACCCAAGAACCTTTGTTACATAAAAGAAAGCAGTAAGCAAGGCCCTTTGCATAGATGCCAAATAGACATGTCCTTGTAAATCATTGCAGTCAATGCTGCCATTATTTTGAAACATGCTTTAGCACAGTGTTTCTCAACTTTTTTCCAGTCAAGAGAACCTTTCAATTTTGCACAATCTCAGAGCACCCCATTGTAAAATGTAAAAAACTAAACTAATGGTTTTACATATTGCAGCAGCATCCAAACACAAAGGACACCCATCACTGGAGATGATTTATTCTTACAAAGTAAAAACACTTTTGCACACTGGTACGGACTAGTATTGCAGCATTTCTTTCTCTCCCCCACACAGCTAATGTGACCCCAGTACTGGTAGAGAGCATTGGGGGAGAAGTCAAACAAGGATGCTGTGCAGGTGGTCAGCATCCTCATTATCAACTAATGACATCAACGGTTGTTAGAAAGCTTGCATTTGGACCACATGGTGCTCAAGACTGTGATGTTGCACAATAAAAATCTGTGGCTTTGTATAACAAAAATGCAGGTTTGAACCACCCACTGGCTTATATACAATGTTTAGGCATTTTGCAAAGGCAATCCTGAAGAACCCAGAAGGCACTCCTGGATGCCTTGGGACCCTGGTTGAAAAACAACTGCTTTAGCACATTCATAAAAAGTGTCTTATGATAAATGCAGAGACTCATGCATACATCGCACTGCAGTTCATTTATCTCCACAAATTAGCATTTCAGCAATCTTTACTGTCAGCATTTAACATAGAGATAACTGCAGACTGTATGGAAATCATAGAAGATGTCTAATGGCATTAGCTATATCGGTAGGCCAGATGCATCTGTAAAAATAAATAGATAATAATTACAAAGCTCACCCTAAAGCCAGGTTGTAAACACATTTTATTTTTTTAATTAGTTACATTTGGCTGACCACTTGAATTATAAAAGCTTTCAAAACATCCTTTTTAAAAACACATGGGATGCAAAAAATATACATAATAAAGGGCAATGATGTTGTTAGAGGTGGGAGGTTTGTAGAGAAGGTTTAGTATTGTATTCTCTGAAAAGCAACCAATATCTTTGTCAGAACAGGTAAATATGTAGACTTGTATGTGGTTTCTTTCTTGCAGTATACCCAGATGGAAGAGTGTGCATCTCTATTCTACATGCTCCAGGAGATGACCCAATGGGTTATGAGAGCAGTGCTGAGAGGTGGAGTCCAGTACAAAGTGTGGAGAAAATTCTGCTGTCTGTTGTCAGCATGCTAGCAGGTGGGCAATTTTCTCATTCACTGGTCTGATTATCAAAGTTAAGTGCGTTCCAGAAATAACCAGCGTTTGGAGGAGTTCCTGACCTTACAAATGAGAAAGCGTTAATCCGTATCCATTATAAGATTTTCTTCACATACCAAAATTTAACTTTTCCATTGATAAAAAAGCAATTAGTTTGTCACGCTGAACAGTAGCTGCACCTCTATGTAATTGTCTGTCCACACAGTAAAAATGTTATGCAAGATGCTGACAGAGTTTTTCTTGATTTTTTTTTGTCAGTCCCCGCACTGTTGTAGGTAAACACTTTGTTTTGACACCTCGACTTCACCTAGTTCACCTGCCAATGATGCCAGCTATGCTGTTGCAAAGCTGTTTGGACTCTTGTGGGATTGACAGGAGAGTTGGCTTTTAAAGTTGCATGCTGCTAGCTATCAGTGGCTAGTAAATCAGGCTTTAGTCCTTCTCTTTTTAATGCCTCAGGTACTGTCATAGTGCCACAGTGGGAGTTCAGCTTCCAAATTTCCCTAAAAAGTTACCCAATGGTGTGCATAAATTCTGACTCCTGTGACTTTAGGGGTCTTTCAAAAACATACTGCTTTAATTACTTGTTTCATCTAGCCCTAATATCAGATGGGTAATAGGATGGAGATTTTTTCAGAGGTTTCCTATGTGAATACTTAAAGCATGTGGTGTTGCACATGTCATCAGTTTGACACCAGCCATTTGATGGTTTGACAGTTTGGTTGAGAGCACAAGCAAATGTGAGTAACATTCCCATCACGTGTCGGGAATATAATTATTTTTTTAAAAAACTGTTAAATTGCTGCGTTGAATTCAGCTTTAAGGTAAAATCAAAAGGTTTTACAGCCTTTCCCTTTCTTTTTTTTCATCAGTTTCTGCAGCATTTTTAAAAATTTAGCCTGTAAAGAGAGAGAGTCCACATATGCCTGTTTCCTATTGGGATGGCCTCCTGGCCTTGAGAGAAACAACATTTCTATTTTGGTAGTTTCAGGTTTCACTTAGATGGCTGATCAAACCTCTAAAAAAAAAAAAAAAAAAAAAATGGTAGAAATGATTATCACTCTTCTGAGGAGAACTTGTTTTGAACTTCTAATGGATTCAGTCTAAGACACGACCTTTTTCCAAGAGAAGAGATGTTAAACTTCTTTTTTTTTTTTCATACGTCCTTTTATGTTTATAGGCTGGCTTCAGTAGCTAGAATAGAGGCCAGATCCCCTATGGGAATTCTGACTGCAACAATTCCACTAGTAATACAGGTTCCTTATAGATGAAAATATGAATGCGTGAAAGAAAGCTGGCATGCTTGACAGAACAATTGAAATCTCTTTCCCAAAGACTTTAAATGTCACTCTTGGCAGTAGAGGCTCTACAAGGAATGATATTCTGTCTGTTGTACATAGAGAGCAGAAGAGCTTATCCTCAAAGCACAAGGAGCTGTTAGTAGTCTGAATGATTTTCATTCTGATGATTACACTGTAGTTTTGATTATTTTTGATATAAGGCCAAAATTTACAGAACATGACAAATCCCATGTCTTTTTCAGTAGTTCAAGTAATAGGTACAGACTTGACCCTAGCTGACCCAATGTGAAAGTGTGTTCCCACAGCTCTTTGTATGTGTCATAATCCTTTGGCATTAGATATCATTATTGAATGATGCACAGCCCTGAAACATGGCAAGGTCTGATGTGCAGAATTTTAATCATTGACTTAATCTGAAAAATCTTTTTGGGTTGACCAGCTTTATCTTCTGTTGGAATAGACACATTTACACAGAACTGATTGTTTTCTCCCTGTGTTTCCCTACTTTTCATAGCAACCTTTTCTTTTGCCAATGCTTATAAAAACTGCTACCAAACATGAATTTTTCAGCCTATAAACAAGTCACGGGTGCATAATCATTCAATAAAAACTCTGCTCCACTCTGTCCACAGAGACTGGTGGGTGCTGCCATCTTAACTCTCACTCAACATACACCCTGTTCCAAATTATTATGCAAATGATATTTTTCTAATTTACCTAAATAATTGATGTAAATAACAGTCAGCATAATTCTCATGTTGTCAACCATTAGGAGTACAATTCAAATTTTATTGAACAAACCTCCTACGATAACAATATTTTTTTGTAAACATAAAAAATGTACAATGTTCTGTTCCAAATTATTCCGCACAGTAAGTTTCAAAACACTTTATAGGTTGTAAAGAACTGAAAATTGTCATTTGTTGTGTTTGCAGCATATTTACTGAAATCAAAAGCTATTTCAATCAAACTTTTAACAGGTCACGTTACATTTTAACATAGGACCCCTTATTTGATAGCAGCTTCACAAGTCTTGCATCCATTGAACTTGTGAGTTTTTGGACAGTTTCTACTTGAATTTGTTTGCAAGATGTCAGAATAGCCTCCCAGAGCTGCTGTTTGGATGTAAACTGCCTCCCACCCTCATAGATCTTTTGCTTGAGGATGCTCCAAAGGTTCTCAATAGGACTGAGATCAGGGGAGGAAGGAGGACACACCATGGCTTTCTCTCCTTTTATCCCCATAGCAGCCATTGATGCAGAGGTATTCTTTCTAGCATGAGATGGTGCGTTGTCATGCATGAAGATGATTTTATTACGGAAAGAATAGTTCTTCCTTCTGTACCAGGGAAGAAAGTGGTCCGTCATAAACTCCACATACTTTGCAGAGGTCATCTTTACACCTTTGGGGAACCTAAAGGGGCTGACCAGCTCTGTTCCCATGATTCCGGCCCAAAACATGACTCCACCACCGCCTTGCTGACATCACAGCCTTGTTGGAACAGGGTGGCCGTCCACCAACCACCCACTACTCCATCCATCTGGACCATCCAGGGTTGCACGGCACTCATCAGTGAACAGGACTGTTTGAAAATTAGTCTTCATGTATTTTTCTGCCCAATGCAGCCGTTTCTGCTTGTGAGCATTGGTTAGTGGTGGCCGAATAGAAGGGTTTATGCACAGTTGCAAGACTCTGGAGGACTCCACCTTGATGTCCGTGGGACTCCTGAGGCACCAGCAGCTTCAAATATCTGTTTGTTGCTATGTAATGGTATTTTAGCAGCTGCTCTCTTGATCCGATGCATGGATCTGGCAGAAATCTTCCTCAATGTGCCTTTACCTGCACGAACCCGTCTGTGCTCTGAATCAGCCACAAATCTCTCAATAGTGCGATGATTCACGTTTTTCGTGAAATATCTAATGTTTTCATACCTCGTCCAAGGCATTGAACTATTTCACTCTTTTCGGCAGCAGAGAGATCCTTTTTCTTCCCCATATTGCTTGAAAATGGTGCACTGCTTAATAATGTGGAACACCCTCCTTTAGTAGTTTTTCCTTAAATTGGGCTCACCTGCCAATCTAATTATCACAGGTGTCCGAGATTGTTTTCAGTGATCAAAAGAGCCCTGAGACACAATGCCATCCATGAGTTAAACTGAAAAACAAAATATTTAATCTTTGTGACACTTAAATAGAATTTGCATAATAATTTGGAACAGGGTGTAGAACATGGAGCCCCGTTGTTGGTCACAGTCTGTATGCCAAAGACACCTGTCTTTCCTGTGACAGTCACTTGTCATTGTTCACAGCCAGGGAGCCTCAACATTTGCCTAACTGTAAAAGTGATCTTTAGTCTACTAATGCCTAGTACATACGATGAGAAAAGTGGACAATAAAACTGCATTCAGAGCAATCGTCCAATAATTATTGGACGATTGCTCTGAATGCAGTTTTATTGTCCACTTTTCAACAGGTAAAAAGTTTTGGGCATAAAATTAGCTAATCTTACATAATTTTGGGGTGCTGAAAACGAAAATGACCCTAAAAAATGTTGATTGGCTCTAGTTTCCATGATATATTCACCCATCTAATGACGTAAGCCATTCAAAATTATGATGCAACTTCAGCTGCATATTGCGCAATTGATACTGGTGACCAATAGAAAGTTGCATGTATACTGAGATGATGCAATATTAGCCTTTAATTGCATCACTTCACTGCATAAAAGCTGCAGTATCTGTAGCTGATTGTAGTTCGACAGCGTCTTTACATTTCGTTTTATGCCTTTATAGGCTACTCAGTAATGCCTCGAACTTGTGTGAATAAAGCAGATAATTTCTGCTATATCTGCGGTGAAATAACTTTTATCTCACAAAAAAGGAGGATAACAGGAATGATTAAGAAAGCCTACAACTTGTATTTTGGCTGCAAGATAGGAGACCAGGACAAGAGCTGGGCACCACATATATGCTGCAACTCTTGTGGGACGGCACTGGAGCAATGGTTGAATGGAAAAAAGGCATCTATGCCTTTCGCTGTGCCAATGATTTGGAGAGAGCCAACAGATCATGTTAGTAATTGTTACTTTTGTATGGTGCCTCCAATTGTAAAAGGGCTAAATAAGAAGAAAAAGTTATCTGTGCACTATCCAAATATTCCATCGGCAATACGTCCAGTTCCTCATGGAGAGGGGCTACCAATTCCTAAAGCACCAGAATCCTTCGTGGTTGAGTCAAGTGAGGAAGAACCTGAAGCGTGTAGTCACGTGCAGTTGTAAGAGATAGCCCTTTCCTCGAATACAAGAGAAAAGCCAAGAGAAGCAAAACCGACACAAACTGAAGACAAAACTAGTGAGAATCCTAAGTATTAAAATGATTCAACTTAGCTTATGGCTATAATTTTTTTTCTTGGTAATCCTATGCAATATATTATGCCATTTAGGCTTTGTTATGTAGTCAATATCACTTGCTTTATATTTGTGGAAAGACATCTATCTATATAATTATTGTGCATTATGTAGTCATTACGCCTATAGTAGAAAACTTTCCGTTTACAGAAAAACTAGAGCCAATTGACAAATTTCATTGTTATATTTGAACTCAGAATGTGAAATTCATTAAGAAATGGATCCTTTTGTTTCCAAAACTGGCAAAAAATAAAAATTTGTTGAACAGTGTAATCTATTCATTAGTACACAACTTTCGAGATCCAATAATGACCGTTCTTGCAAAATTACCCAAAGGGACAAAACACGAAAATTTTTTCTCGGAAGATAACAGAACAAACAATTTTCATTTGATCAGTACACTTTTTGTCTGTAAAAAATTGGGTGACCAAAACCGCACATTCTCAGAAATATGGAAATAACCCAGAAGGAAAAAGGACAAGGAAGGAAAACAATCTTCGTGTTCAGCATAAATGCGTTTAAATATGAAAAACATTGTTTTCAGTACATGTGGAGAACTAATCTACATGCGGAGACCAATGCATGAATACACCATGACACTCCTAATGGGTATAGCCGAAGGGTGTGGCAAAGAGAGGGGGTCACATGTATATGACATCACTTCTGATTACACAATGGTACGTTGCTACGCAAACGGGAAAGTTGTACTGATTCACATGAGAATTTTCGTATGCTTAGCATTCGTATTCGATATGAAAGTAACATGCAAAAAAAAACCCACAAACTATCATTTGTCCTATTTTCTCATGGTATATACTAGGCATTAGACTGTACATCTTGGGGAAAAGAGGCATGCATTTGAGATAAACAATATTGCAGCTTATGAATATACCGCTCTGCTGACCTGCTTCAAGAATAGAAAGGTTCACTTTATTAGTGATTACCAAGGTAAGAAAATGATTTATTAGGATGCTGAAAAAGGGAATTTACACTGAGCCCTTAAACCGGTATTACTCGGGTCATAAGTGTCACTAATCTCTGGTAATAAAAAAATATATGTTCTATTCAAGTATGTATTCTTTGTTCCAAAAAATACCTTCTATTGCTCTCGGCCTCCTCCAAATCTCAAAACGCCTTTCTTTTTTGCTGCTGACTTCCTGTTGGGTGGCTGCGTCATTTTCCATTTCCCACTGTAAGTAGGATGGGAAGCCACCCTAACTTGCTCGCTCCTGGGATGGACTATAGGATCTGTAACAGGCATAGAGTAGTACACATGACTGCAACTAACTTGCACTGCACATTCCAGATAAACTGAAGTAAGGGGAGAAAGGGTTCACATGGCTTACAGAGGAAGTAACAAGGAGGCAGAAAAACACAGTAAGAAAATATTTAATGAAAAATGGATTACAGAGCCATTAGGTAGTGGATATGTATGGATTATTTTTGGACAATAAGGGTGTCTTTTAGTGTCGCTTAAATATAAAGATATATGTATATAATACATACTAAATAATTAGTGCAGAAACCACCCTAGTCACTTGAAATACTCAAAGGAAATGATTATATTTTGAAATATACAGTACAGTGATGGATAAAGAGTAACATATGAGCATCACCCTACATATACAGTGCCTTGAAAAAAGTAGTCATTTCCCTTGAAATTTTCCACAGTTTTGTTTGACATCCAAAGACGTAAATGTGTTTTATTGGGATTTAATATAATAGACCAACACAAAGTGGCACATAATTGTGAAGTGGAAAGAAAATGCTAAATGGTTTTAAACATTTTTTACAAATAAATATCTGAAAAGTTTGGCATGCATTTGTATTCAGCCCCCCTTAGTCAATACTTTGTAGAACCCCCTTGCGCTGCAATTTTAGCTGCAAGTCTTTTGGGTATGTCTCTACCAGCTTTGCACATCTAGAGAGTGAAATTTTTTACCCATTCTTCTTTGCAAAATAGCTCAAGCTCTGTCAGATGGAGAGCGTCTGTGTGCAGCAATTTTCAAGTCTTGCCACAGATTCTCAATTGGATTTAGGTCTGGACCTTGACTGGGCCATTCTAACACATGACTGTGCTTTGATCTAAAGTATTCCTTTGTAGCTCTGGCTGTATGTTTAGGGTCTTTGTTCTGCTGTAAGGTGAACCTCTACCCCAGTCTCAAGTCTTTTGCAGACTCTAACAGGTTTTCTTCTAAGTTTGCCCCGTATTTGGCTCCATCCATCTTCCCATCAACTGACTAGCTTCCCTGCCCCTGCTGAAGAAAAACATCCCTACAACATGATGCTCCCCCCCACCATGTTTCACGTTGGGGATGGTGTGTTCAGGGTTATGTGCAGTGTTCGTTTTCTGCCACACACAGCGTTTTGCTTTGAGGCCAAAAACTTCAATTTTGGTCTCATCTGACCAGAGCACCTTCTTCCACATGTTTGCTGTGTCCCCCACATGGCTTCTCGCAAACTGCAAACAGGACTTCTTATGGCTTTCTTCTTGCCACTCTTCCATGAAGACCAGATTTGTGGAGTGCACGACTAATAGTTGTCTTGTGGACAGATTTTCCCACCTGAGCTGTGGATCTCTACAGCTCCAGAGTTATCATGGGCCTCTTGGCTGCTTCTCTGATTAACACTCTCCTTGGCCAGCCAGTCAGTTTAGATGGATGGTCATGTCTTTGTAGGTTTGCAGTTGTGCCATACTCTTTCCATTTTTGGATGATGGATTGAACAGTGCTCTGTGAGATATTCAAAGCTTGGGATATTTTTTTTTATAACCTAACCCTGCTTTAAACATCTCCACAACCTTACCCCTGGCCTGACTGGTGTGTTCCTTGGCCTTCATGATTCTGTTTGTTCACTGATGTTCTCTAAAAAACCTCTGAGGACTTCACAGAACAGCTGCATTTATACTGAGTTTAAATTACACACAGGTGGACTCTATTTACTAATTAGGTGACTTCTGAAGGCAATTGGTTTCACTAGATTTTAGTTAGGGGTATCAGACTAAAGGGGGCTAAATACAAATGCACACTCCACTTTTTAGATATTTATTTGTAAAAAATTTTGAAAACCATTTATTATTTTCCTTCCACGTCAAAATTATGTGCCACTTTGTGTTGGTCTATCACATAAAATACATTTAAGTTTTTGGTTGCAACATGACAAAATGTGGGAACATTTCAAGGGGTATGAATGCTTTTTCAAGGCACTGTACCCTACTGTTGTTATGCTAATATCTTTGGCTCTTAAATGGAAGAAAAAATGCCTGTACATAGGCAGAACTGGCCCTTTTTTTAGAATATTTTGGAGACCTTGAATATCTTGCACATTTTTACTTAGTTTCTTGAGTAATGGTGGACACACATGAGCTAATCCTGTCCTGCAGCTGATGTAAACCTGACATGAACCGGTGAACAACTACTATATGAATTAGCTGTGAAACCTGAACTTCAGCCTGCATCGCACATGTGTGAATTGACTCTTACCTATTGTATTTTTTTGTGCAGTGTGACATTTTGACTCCTGTGCCATCACTGTTCTCTCCGCCTTTTAAAAAAAGACATACTAGGCAAGAAAGGTTAGAGGTTTTTTTTTTTGTATTACCCTTACCCAAAAAGCTGTTTCCATCTGAGAGCAGAGAGTATAACCCTACAGGTTATGGTGAGGAGGGACTTATAAAATCAAAGTGCCCTCAACTCAAATCAGCTTGTAGCACAGTGTGCAATGGGATCTGCAGTTTTGCTGTTTAGGGTGTAAAGGAATGATTTGCAATGGCTTCGTCCACTGTCTTAAAATGAAAAAAAATTCTGTGATTTTTGAGAGATGTGATGGACTGAGCATTGTATTTACCTTCAGTTTTAAGAAGGCTTTACAGTTGAGAACAGATAAAGAGTACCATTGAAAATATGTCTCAATGTCTGCAAAATTCATATATTGTACTATTTTGTGCAGTCTGGCATTTTGACTCCTGCTCCAGTACTGTTAGAGTAATCTTCTGTCTGCCTTATTTAACTGAAATACTAGATAAGAAAGGTTTGAGTTTTATGTTCTGTATAATGAATCTGTTGGTGATACAGCTGGAATCTTTGAAGCTTGTTTTTCAGTAAGATTATTTTCTCTTTCAGACATTCTGATTTTCTTTTAAGTATATAAGCCTGAACTCTCTTCTACAATCTTGGTTTGTCAGTCCTTCTCCACTGTGCCTTAAGTGTTAATTTTCAGTGTTGAAGTAAAAATAAAATTCTCATTTATATTTTTTTAGAACCTAATGATGAAAGCGGAGCTAATGTAGATGCCTCAAAGATGTGGCGAGAAGACCGTGAGCAGTTTAATCGGATTGCCCGGCAGACGGTTCAAAAATCTTTGGGATTGTGAAAAGACTCATCAGTATTTCTTCCGAACAGAGATTTCTCCATGTATTTCTGCCACAGAGTTACTTTCAGGCAATCCTTGTAATGCTGGGATTATTTACATTTTTTTCTTTGCTTGCAAAATTAGCTTTTTGGATGTTTTTGCACCATTACATTTGTTTCCAGTTTCAGCGCATTATCGCACCTCTTTGTTAAGTGGAGGTTAATAACTGAACCATCTTGTAGTTCTCTGTATAAGACTCTGTTGGAATGATTGCACACCTTACCACCTAGATCCACAAAGGAACTTTGGACACTGGAGTTTAACAGATTTTTGCTATACAAACTCCCTTACAGTATTTTTAAAATTACATAAATGTCTAAAATGTTTTGGAACATGGCTTTATATCTGCTTGAAACTGTATGCTAATTTATTTCTTGGCATTTAGTCAATAAATATGAACAGTTTCATAAATTAGTGATAATGGATTTGGGTTAAGATCCCATAGGAAAGGTTTCTCTTGAATCTTAAACCTTTTCATTGTGTATTTAGCAGAACTGTGCAAATTGCATGATTACATATAAAGTTTATTTTTTTTAAAAGGGTCCACATCTTCTATACAGTGTTGCAGTTTATGCTGTTTATTCTCAGATATTTTTTCTTGCTGACAATCCAGCACCGCATACATGTTAGAAGGCCTGAGCTGCCATAATGACATGCTCTGCCACATCTTTCTGAAATAAATTATTGATATAATTATGTGTACATGTGCGTGACTGCCAGTCTGTTTGGTCTGTAATTGTGAGGGTCAGGTTGGGCTCATTAGTGCATTTAATTTAGAGTCCTGGGCAAGGTCAACATCACAGTTTGATCAGCAGTTGGAAGCTAAGACAGCTGAAACATTTAATCGCCGCATGATCTTTTTCATCAGATGTGCACATAGGCACCTCTGGCTCTGCTTTTATCACTAATGCACCCCCTCCCTCTGGATAGGTCATCTGTAAAGGTCTGCTAAATCCTAATGGTACACATAAACTTGCACATTAATACCAACATTTGCAAGGCTGGTCAATGACCATCGGATGTCAGTATCTCCAGTAAGCCCTTTGTCACATGCTCCTAGCAAAAAGCATTTGCATATCCTAAATTTGTGTTAACATTTTATGACTCCATTAATAAGTGACTTTACCATATTTTGAATTTAAAAGATTGCAGTTGAAAAAAATAAAGCTTGAGGAACAGAAAATTGATTCCCATTGACTTTTTTTAATACAGGTTGCTGAATGAAAATGATCTCTTGGATGATTGATGTAGGTGTACTCTCCAGTTTTTGATCTATTTTGTGTTTATGCATTGATGTGTGAAGATTGTATACATTTATTGTAGGCTCTCCCAATGCATATACTCTCTATGGCAACATGTTAGTATAAATCTGACAATCACACCTATATGAGCTTGTTCGACATCCCATTCCAAAACTATGGAGTTGGCCCCCCTCTTTGTAGCTGCATAAGCCTCCACTCTTCTACATAGACTTTCTGTAATATTTTGGAGTGTGTCTGGGAGAATTTGTGTGCATTTAGTCAAAAGATCATTTGTGAGGTCAGGTACTGATGTTGCATGAGAAGACCTGGCTCACAATTTGCATTCCAATTTACCCCAAGGGAGTTCATTGAGTTTGGAGTTAGGGTTTTGTGCAGGCCTTTCAACTTCCTCCACACCAAGCTTGGCAAATTGTGGAGCTGGCATGTTTGCTGTAGCATTATCAGTATCATTCATTGGAAACACGTATCAGCATATCTTTAACCAATAATAGTGTTCAAATGATCTGCACCAGCTCTATATATTTAAAGCTATTGTCAGAAGAAACCTATCGCCTATGTTGAGATAAAGTGGGGAGCTCCATTACTGACCTCTCCTTGTAAACATGTAAGCTGAATGGCTGTCTTGTTGATCCCCATGTCCTCAGAACTTCACTTGACCTGGAACATGTTCTGATTTTACTTAATGCTTTAATTTATTTCAGGTTAGTGATTCTGAAACCAGGAGAAGCCGAGTAAATAGTATTTTTTTAGAATCTCTTTACTTCTAGAAGAGCACAGGTTTTTTGTTTGTTTTGTTTTTAGGCTTGGATAATATTGGGAAGTAAGAACCTTTGCTGGGTTTTATTACTGACTGGATTCCTGCTAGGGGGCTTTCTCCTCACTTCCTGTGTGGCTCTCTGCATCTGATTGGTCTGCTAAGTGTAAATCTTGAATCCAGCCAATGGTTTGTTTTTTTTTTATATTTGAATATTGTGGTAAAAGTTAGAAATACTGCTATGAAGGGGTGTTCCCCTTATTTTCTATCTATTTGAAGAGTCTCAGACATAACAGAAAGTTAAAAGAAATTTTTAGCAGAGTGAAAAATGGTTAGAGGATAAGTTCACCTTTGTAAAAATAAATAAATGCACATCTTTTTGCAGGTAAATAAAAGTGCATATATTATTTTTTACTAGGAGCCTGCAAAGCATTGCACCTGCTATCAGCAGACCTCAGATGCAATCTCAGGCTCCTGCAGACTGTCAGTGTAGCTGTCTTCCCATACCTCATATGTGCAGTCAGTTACTGAATGGCAGGAAGCATAAAAGAACTACCTGGAGCGCTCAACAGCACCCTGGTAGTTAATTGAGAAATACAATCCGGCAGCCGCAAAGGCTGTAGGACTTGTAGTCCTACAATTTACAGAACTCACTGTAAATGAATGAGTGCGGGGGCTCTGCCCACCTGGCCGCAATTTCTTTAAAATTTGCTACAGCGGGTATGGGAAGAGGATCCCCGCCCCACTGTCATAACGGTGGACTGGTGGGTGACTACTGCAACAGTAACATGTTATACCTTGAATACGAATGTCACATGTTACAATGTTTAAAATTTCTGTAGTGTATACAAATACATTGTATTCTCTAAATTTTCCATCAAATATAAAACAGGAGACTGTATCGCATTAATAAATTATATCTAGCTCCAAAATTGTGTACACGTGTGAAACTGCAAAAAATATGAAACCCATAATTGTAGTAAGGCAGCACATCTGCAGGTCTTCATACAACTAAATAGGGCCCTACAATAATTTTTTTTTTTAGCTCTGGCATATATGTTGACATTTAATTTGTAATGGTTGTATTCATATGTATCCTAACTGTGTGTTGGCAAAGATTTTTTTTTTTAATATTATTACTTAACAGTAATAAAGTCATAAATGGGCTAACATGCCACTGGAACAGTCCTGGGCTCACAGAGTGTTTTGGTGATATGGGGCATGTCCTGTTCATATTATTTTGCTTCATCTACTTTCTGACACTGTCCTCACTATTTTTTCTTTAGCTTTGCAAGGGTTTCTTACAGGTGCTTTTGCCTTCTGTAATTTTAAAAAAACATAAGCAAGCTAACTAGCTTCTGAATAAACTGACCCTAGAGCGTGCCTGTTTATTTGTGCTTTGTCATATGTTGGCTGCTTGTACATCTGAAAAATGGTGATATTTATAGCTTCTAATTATAAATTCAGGTTCATTATTGACTACTGTATTCATTATTCTTGCATTTTTATGTGAATCGTGCAGTGGTTTACATAGTATTTAGAACTATTCACATCACTCCATGTCCCAGGGTACGTAAATCTAATATTCCTAACACATTTATAACAGCAAATACATATGCACATTTTAATCAGAAAGCAAATCTATGTATGCATACTGTCTGTGATAAATGGTTAGTTATTCTCTTGAACCTTAATTTGCATTATTCCTGTTTATTAGTCAGGGGGTTAATAATACTGTATGTGAACTCTTTTATATCTATAGTATTTGCTTTAGGTTAGAATGTTTATATTCTTCCTTTGTTTTTTTTCTTCTGATAAACATGTAAAAGAGATTAGTTTGACTTGCATAATCATATTAATATTTTTTGATGATGTAAAAAAAAAAAAAAAAAAAAACCTTACTACTATATATCATTTACTGTAGATGTATATGGCTGTAGTCATAACTGCTCATTGCATATGCAGGCTGTGGCTTTGCTTTACTGCTCCTTATTGAAATATAAGTCTGAGTCACAAGACTCTTCAAAAATTATTTGCACTGCCCATGCAGCCTACAGTTAAACCATAGAGATGGAGTAATTGCAGTGGCCCATTGTGAGCGCTCTAGAATTTAATATAGGCAATAGAAGATCAAGCTTGTAAAAATGTGAATATCATAAAAAATATTTTGAGGGCAACCCAAACTATGGCAGTGAAAATACACTATACATTCCCTTTAAGCTGACACACACTAATCTCATCTCCACATCCTTGTATAGTATTACATTTTGTTCAATTAATGGTGTTTTATTTTAAATAAACATTACAAATTGAGTCTAGTTGGATTATTCCATCCTCTGCAATGGATTTCAGTGCAGGTATTTGAATTCAGTCTTCGTGCTTTTTTGACTAACTGGTTTGAGTGGGATGGACAAAAAGAAACACATCCCTGTCTTTCTGTGGAGCTTGTGACCTCTAATACCAAGAAAATACAACTTACTGATTTTTGGATCTGATCGCTAAAAAAGGCAATTTGTGTATGTAAATACTGCATCAAAACAAAAGTTCTGCAAAGCTCTTGCTGTTTTTTCTTTCTCTAGAAGCAGTCACAGCCTGAATTGAAAATTCTATCTCCTGCCAGCAAGCTGTAGAAAAGGCTTTTGCTCTTTTAGTAGAAGCAGTGGTCTCTCTACAGAGGTCTAACACACCCCTTGCTGAAGAAGACCTATAGCTCTTCAATCAGTAGGGGGCATGTGTTTTGTGAATTGCAGAGCTATAGGTCTGACTCAACAGGGGATGTGGCAGCCTCTGCATAGAGACCACTGCTTCTACATCAAGAGCATGTGTCCTTCTCTGCAATGTGCTGGACTGTTTGTCTTGGAATATGCTTAACTGATTTAGGCATTTTTCACATGGGAAGCTGGGGGACAGTAAAAACAGACAGCTGAGTTTTATGGCCCCCCAGC